TTGTTAATTTCATGCATGCTGGCTCGGGGTAAAAGAAATCAGCAAAAATCCTCCTCTATACCTAAAACATCTTATAGGTACAACATATTATCAAAACAAGCAAGAAGCCGTTAACGCAAACTCAAACACTTTACTTGGAACCAAGCTTCTGGTTTCGGAACTGGGTTTAGTATATCATACACTGCAAATGCATTATGCCTTTGGCATCTTATGTGCACATCATGCACATCAACTTTTGTACAAAAAATTGTGAAATTCATCAAAAGTGGGTGCCATGTTTCGGGATTCATGGCGATGTTATCTTAGATTTACTTTGAAAATGAACTACAAATTACTTCTCATATCTACATGTAGCTGACGGATGAATGAAATTAAAGACAATAAACAGACATCATTTTCTAAAGTCCAGTCAAAAATACAGTTTATGAGCAGAGCGAACTCTGAAAACATAGGTGGAATCAGGTGCCATGAAGGAGTTAGCTGCAGATCTGTAGCTTGCTGGTCTGAAAAAAATCGGATGGACCACTAGAGAGCTACAGTGCCACCCATTGAAAAAGTGTGTATTTATTGCGCACAAAAAAAGTACTCATGATTGGAGAAGATTTTAAGAATTAATGCATTCTCAATATATTACCCTATGGCATGAAACACGAACCCTAGGGGTTCAAAAAAAAGTTGCGTACTGACTCATTATAATAATGCAATTGATTGCCTGGTGTAATATGTTCATAAGTAAAAAAAAAAAAACATTTTATAGATATACTAGCTTTGCATTTACAATATATGACCAACTTTGCCCCATCCTGGATTCTGAACCCTGAGCGCAGGGACCATGAATATCATCAATTTTGGTTAAGGGTTCATTGCTCATTAACTTCATGCCACAATTTGACTGCTTGATGTCCAGAAGTATAAAGGAAGATTTTCAAAGATTGTATTAATGGCAGAGACCATAAAATTTACAAATTGTGTTAACCTTTACTTCAATATTAAAAAGAAACACAAAACAGAAATAATGAAAATTACAGAAACAAAAACATTTTGAAATCCGTTGCGAACTAGTTACTATATTCACAATAAAATTTAGCATTTTCCCCCTTTTTTGAGATTGAAGTTGGCCATTGTCGATTGCACGGTAAATAATCTGTGTCACAAGTCATAATAACTAATCAAAAATGGAAGTCATTACCATCATCAATAATTCATTCAACCTTTGAAATTCATCAGTATATGGAGTAAATACCTTTTCGACAATGACCACGGCAAATCCTTCGTATGAATTTACATAACATTCTCTGATAATATCGCTTGCAATCAATAGACTTTTTTGCCACAGGCATGTAACAAATTCTCGTTTCATCATGATACCTACATCAAAATGAAAGGAGGGATTACGATGCTTTATATTCACTCTATTGAAAGAAATAACATTTTGATAAACTTTTAATGAGATTTTGAATACTCGCATGACTTAATATTATCTAGTTTGCATGACTTCATCTCGTCGTGGTACGACATAATTTCCTGGATTAACAAATTGAAATGAATTTTAATCATTGAGGAATGACTTATAACACTTACTCTTCTTATAGGCGAAATATTTTTACATAACTATTGTTTGTTTAAATACTGATATAGTAATATCAAAATAAAGAGCTTATTTTCATAATAATTGGACTTTTTTTCTAAGGACAAGAAATTGATATGCCTCATAATTCTGAATTTCTAGTTGTAAATGTCAAAAATTATTAGAGTCTATAGGAATAATGATAAAACGAGTATTCATAACCAGGATTTTAACTACAATTATAATAAATATATGTATCATGATTAAACGATTAACGAAATGTGTATTTAATTAAATTCTAAGGGTAGTATATGACCGGCTATTGAACTTTCGAGAATCTTGAGCCAATGTCTTGAAAATCAGTTGTTGTTCGTTATTATTGTGACTTTGGAGAAAGCTTACACGGATATGTAAATCTTTTAGCCAGACATAGAAATCATGCTGATAAGTTCACAAGTAACACATTTTCTGATGACTTGAGGGTTATTTTGTCGTTCGATTTTGTCTCCTGAGAAATGTACATCTAAAAAATCTTTACAGCTGTAGTCCCTCCAAAAATATGCTATACGCAAGCGAAATCACAAACCAGGTTAAAAACTTTATAAATATGACCGAAGCAGTATCATACCATTATAAAATGCAAGGTATGGAAGCAGACAAGTGGAACGACTACTTGCTTTTTAGTTTTTAATTATTTTCATTTTTGACATAATTTTACTGTGCCGAATAAAAAACTTCAGCATGAATGAAATATTTTCGAAAAGACATTTTGATCACTTAATATTTAATTTAAAAACTGTAAAGGTTTTAATTTATCACTACATATCATTACACATTGATACAAATTATTTTTCACTACAGAAGAACCCATGCATGAGCATACATCACCCGACAAATCTAAAAGTAAAGTTTTTGTTGCACATTTTTTTCATTAGCTATTTTATTTTGTTTATATATCGTGTTAGGTTAAAATAAAAACATGAAAGAACGCACGGAATAAATTATACAGACACATTAAGATGTATCCTAATTCAATATAGTACAAAGTCCAGCATTTCAACCATATTTCTAAAATATTACAATTTTCTTTATGAAAATAGAAACAAAAATGAAAATGTGATTACCGTAAGTATTGATTTCATAGAAAAAACTTTTTGTTGTTTTTCGGAAGTAAGGTTGAACTGGAACATTCAATGGTTTCTCCTTTCTTCAAAATTAATAAATACTTCTCAAACGACTCAACTTTAAGCTCAGACATGTCTATACGTAACTTTAGGATTGTTAGAGATTAACTATAGGATAATTTGCGAAATTCTAGCTTTAATGAGTAGAATTGCGTTAATGAGGATATGAAAAACAGGAGGAGACCGAGACAGATTCCAATATGAAAGGATTCAGTCTCTGATTAAGATCTGATCTGTCGTGAAGCAGAAATTTTATACCGTGTATATCTTTTTTTGAATTCATTCACTTCCCGAATCCCTGGCTTTCAATGAAAGCAGCACACGATCCTCCTACCTTCTGTATCATTAGCAGGATGGTTTTGAGTTCAATTGAAGTTTTAATGAATTTATACTATCGACGTAAAACGATTCCAAAAAGGAAAATCGTGACGCGTTTAAATATTTCACTTCTTTATATCATAGGAGATATTTTGAAATTTTTAATTGTCTACAAAGTTGTGAGGATGAAACCACTCTTGATTTAGGTCATTATATATCTTTCTTATAATTCCAAAACGTAGATAAGCTTTCAAATTTGTTACCATTTCTATCATAGGTGAGCATTTATGATAGTATAGGTACATCAAACATGCACACAAATAATACGTCTGACGTTCTCATTAATTTGTTTAAAGAAGAGTGGGTAATGTATATGTATGACAGATTCTTTTAGGATCAAACTGTAAAATGCAAGTATTTTATATTTCGTCATGGCTTCTGCTGCCTGTACGTCAATCTGACTGCAGCACTTTTGTGTGACACAAATAAGTCACATTAAGTGCCTTTCAACTTATATTGGCTTTATGTTTACTACATATTTGGTAGGTGATTAAAGGGGACACCAGATACTGTGGAATTAACATTGTTAGTAAGGAATCAATGTTCTTTTTTTTTTTTGCCTGTTAATGCTGAATTACGGCTGCAACTATTGCGGAAAAAAATCATTGCAAGGGTTCGTATTTTTCTGCAATAGTTGCAATTTATTCTCGCGTTTACTAAGAAAAAGAGGATATTCAATGTGTTGGATATGCACTTTATTTCACGGATGGGACAGGATTTTTTTTTATATTTTCATGAGTGCAAAGCACTACTGAAAATAAAAAAAAAGACCCTGTCTCACGAGTTAAAATACATTTCACCTTCAACTTCTAAAAATTGAATTTACTATTAGTTACATTTTTATTCACTTTCTTTTTTCGTTGGAAAATCGAGTTTCGCCGCACCTCTGACGTTCTTCCACACTGTGTCAAAATTTCACTTTGATATATTTTCACACTGTGACAAAATATCAACTTTATTCTAAAAATAAAATACAGTATTTTACTGTCCAAAAAGTAATAAATAACCACAATAAAATTCGTTGGGGATTAACAATTGAAATTCCGTTGATGAATGTTACAAGGTCCGAAAGATTGTTTTGGCCATAATACATTTACATGTATGTTATGCAAAAGCTTAAGTTTGTTTTAAACTTAAAGACTTCATATTTACTACATATATCGAAGGTTAAGAGAAAAAAAAATATAAAATTTATGTCAAATTTGTTGCCACTTGAACAAAGACCAAGGTTAACGGTCAATATTATTGACATATCCATTACACTTTAGAAATTCAAAAATTCATATATTGTATCACTACAGACTTAGTAAGATAAGTGCTTAACATAACATTTTAAGCAATATCGTCAAAGGTAAAGGTTGATGTTTCAAAATTAGTCGTAGGAATTTTTAAGTTTAATGATATAATAATTCACTTACTGTTTGCCATAAGGTGTTTCAGTTTTCCTACATAGATAGACAGCACTTGTGAAAATAACTCTTTATATAATATTTGCGTAACTAAGTCAAGGATGAAGACTAACTTAACTTTTATTTGCCCTTGAACACAAATAAGAGCACACTCAGTGAAAGACCTCCTTCTCTTTACGCTGGTGCCAGGTCAGGAGAAAGTAACAAGCATACGTTAGTGTGCTATATGATTTTACCATTGGTTTTTTTTTTTCTCTTTTACGCTTAGTCTTAATAATCAAATATATAATTATAAATCATGAAATAACATGTAAAGACTAAAATTGATTTCAAATTTATGAATTTTGATAATACTGTTTTAAATATTGAAGCTGTATTAAAAAATATGTATTGAATTTATTTTTATATTTTAAAATTTTCTCATCAGTAACTAGAAACTGATTTTTCTTTTTACAGATTTATTGTAATTGTACTGCCTATGAAAAGCAGAAGTTGGTGTACATCAGGAAACACTCACAAAATTTTTGCAACAGTTTGGATAATATCTATTATTCTATCTTCTCCTGCCTTTTACATCATGGTAAGACTTTACATTATGAATTTTTACACTGAGAATTACTGCCTCAAATCTTGGAACCAATCTCTGTTGTATAAGTAAAGTTTTCATCTCCGCTTTAATGTCATTGTTAAGTCTACATGTTGAAGAATACAAAGAGCAAGAATATCTACATAACATGTATACTCGTATATAACCAGGAAATATCAATTAGAAATTAAAACTGAATTTACATGTACATTTTGTAAAGAAAAAAACCTGCTACTAATCTCATGCTAAAACAATACCTGTTCGTTGCTTTGAAAATACCAGTAGTGCTATTAAATTCCTTGTGTATTTGTAAATCTGCTTCAAGAACTTTTAAAATGGGGTATTTTGACCAATTAATGTTTATAAAAGATGAATAGTGTGTCAAAGAAGATACAAAGCGCTTCACAAATGGGTTTTCATGATATTGTATGACATGTGTTTCATCTATTACAGTAGAGAACTATACACTTTTTTTTCAAAAATATTACTGTAGATCACCAGATTTCCGCGACAACTTATTTACGCGAGAATCCTTACAAACAAAGATACATAGCGGGTTCCAGTAAATGTTCAACAAAGCCTCTATCTTTACTCCTCACTAAGATATTAACAGGAGAAACTTCAAGAGTACTGTGCAACAATATATTCGAGAAGTGGTGTAAATTAGATGTGGATACTTAAAAATTCCAAGGAACTTTTGGAAAATTTGAAATCACAAGATTTTACCAAAATCAACAGCTTAAAAACTTACGACTTTTCAACTTTATACACAACCATTCCCACGATAAATTAAAGTCCAGGCTTTTTGATATCATTGACAGCTGCTTTTTCAATAAAAATGGAACTCGTAAATATACTTACCTTGTCATTGGTCATTTGCAAAATTATTTTGTTAAAAAACATTCTGATTGTACACACTAGTACTCTGAAGTTGACATTAAAAAGATGCTTGAGTTTCTGATTGACAATATCTATGTGGTTTTTGGAGACCAGGTCTTCCAATAATCTATTGGATTTACTATGGGTACCAATTGCGCCCCGTTATTAGCAGACCTTTTTTTGTATTCAAATGAAGCAGAATTTGTCCAAAATCTTGTACGTGAAAAGAAGAAAACACTTGCTGTGGCGTTCAATTCGACATTTAGATATATCGACGACGTATTGTCGATTAACAATGGCTATTTTCATTCTTATGTCGATACGATATATCCTGGTGAACTTGAGATAAAAGATACCACAGAGTCTGACACATCTGTTTCATATTTGGATATTTTACTTGAAAAAGACGTTAATGGTAATCTAACAACCAAGCTTTATGATAAACATGATGACTTTAACTTTTCAATCGTCAACTTCCCTTACTTATGCAGCAATATACCTACATCACCTGCATACGGGGTATATATCTCTCAGTTGATTCGATACGCAAGAGCATGCTCTACGTATGTACAATTTCTAAAACGAGGTTAATTATTGACAAATAAGTTAATGAAACAAGAATATCAGCTGCCTCGTTTAAAATCATCATTTCGTAAGTTCTATGGTCGATACAATGACCTTGTCAGCAAATACAATTTATCATTGAGTCAAATGCTGACTGACGTTTTTCATACTAATTGTTAGGCCATTATTTACACACTGAATTGTCGACGGATTTTCCCGATCATGACAAGGAGCACACGGCGGGTGTGACCGGTCGGCAGGGGATGCTCACTCCTCCATGGCACCTGATCCCACCTCTGATGTTTGGAGGTCCGTGTTTGCTCTGCTCCTATTTTGTATTGTATAATGGACTTTTGAGCTTGAATACTGTTCGTTATCTCCATATATTTCATAGATGGTATTTATAAGCGAAACAAAATGTTCACGAATTCTGGTTATTGGTGTATATAAGCTATTCTCATAAAAAATATACGTGAGAATAAAATTTTTGCGAACAGACACTCTCCCGTAATTACGCAAAAATTAAGTTCTCGCGAATTAAAAGTGATTTACAGTAATTGCTACCCTAAATCAATTTAAAAAAGATATAAAGTAATTTAGATTGTAAATTTGTAATGCGTCATTTGATTAGATAAAAAAAATTAGTTTATATCGTATAACCTGTATTGCCTACATTGCAATGAATTAGGTCAAAATCAACCTGCTTGTCGTTACTTTTAAAATATTTTCTATTGAAGGCACTTTTGAAGGGAAATTGTTTTATTTTCTACACTTAATGGTGGAAAATTAATTAATAAGGAATGAATTTAATAGCTACCCAAGGTATATCGGTATAACCTGGGTTGGAACAGTTAATGTTTTTTTTTTTTATAAACCGCGCTTCGCCGTTTATAAAGCGTAAACTGCCACAATCCAGGTAATAACATATCACTCGGAGGTACTCGGGTGGCTCGTACCTCGCAAAAATTCCTCCAAATGTTATATCAATGAAATTTGAGTTACTTTGTGGCACGCCTAATACTGTGTCTTTGCTTTCAAAGACTACTAACATAAGGTTGTAATCAAAACCAATATACAATGAAGAATAAGACAAGTTTAAAAAACTTTATGAACTTTATGCAGAGCGAAATATGAAATGAGTTACAAGGCAGTTTCCGGAGGAGAAATGTATCGATTTGAAACATATTCCTCCACAAAATCCCATCCGAGGTTTGTAGGAGCGTAGAGGAGTCAGCCGAGGATTGACGATTGATACAGTATAAATTGGGTTACTTAAATGTATTCTCATTGAGAAATTCTATAGTTTACTGAGAAGTTTACTGAGAAGTAACATAAGATGTAAATGGAAGGTACAACAACATGCTCATGCTCATACAACATGCAAAAAGTACAAATTTGCTACTACATGTATCAATCGACTTTATCTTGCATTTTCATCGATCAGAGAAACTAATCGTTTCTTGACACAATGTAATTTTCAGTTTAAAAGATTTTACTACCCCTTTTTTCATTCATCAAGCATTGACCTCACATTTATCACTTTTAATCTAAATATCCAAAGCATCTCGGTGATTCTATTTCCCATCTTGAACATAAAAGCGGGGTCATAGCTCCATAATGGCTTATTTACAATGGTTAGTATACTTGAAATAATACCAAGCATCGCCTTTTTAGCAGAGGTATTGATGTCTTTATTGGAACAGTGATAACAATGTTAAAAATAGTCATATGTCATCTAAGTATCACATGATCCCGTACAATGGTATGTTGTACAATGTTGATAAATTAGTTTTTATTGAGTTTTTATTGTTTAACAGTCACGTTGGCGTCACGTGATAGCTACATCATTAGAAGGTTGATAAATTAGTAAACTTGAGGAATTTTACTTAAGACTATTCGGACGGTTACTAAATAAAACAGATATGTGTTTAAACCAAAAAATAACGCAAGAAAAATTGTGGATAATGCTTTCATTCTTCAACTCAAGGTCTTTTGTTTCAAACCGAGTAACATTTTCACCAAAAATAATACTAAGCAAGTGGAGATTGAAAAGAAAATATTTTCTAATTAGATATAACAGGTCAAATTCAGTGGTTTCTTTATATTTCGACTTCAGTAAAATAACGTAAGATGTGACAATGAATATTGCTTATTGATAAAACGTCATCGATATATCCAGTTAATTGAAGGCCACAGAAAAAGGCTTCTTGGTGAAATATATGGAGATAACAAACAGTATTCAAGCTCAATAGTTCATTAAATATTACAAAATAGGAGCAGAGCAAACACAGACCTCCAAAACATCAGAGGTGGGATCAGGTGTCATGGAGGAGTGAGCATCCGCCGTGTGCTCCTTGTCATGATCGGGAAATAACGGGAAAATCCGTCGACGATTCAGTGTGTAAATAATGCCTAACAATTAGTATGAAAAACGTCAGTCAGCATTTGACTCAATGATAAATTGTATTTGCTGACAAGGTCATTGTATCGACCATAGAACTTACGAAATGATGACTTTAAACGAGACTGCTGATATTCTTGTTTCATCAACTTGTTTGTCAATAATTTAAGCGTTTCATAGACGTAGAATTTTTAAATTAAATTCTGCTTCATAAGAATACAAAAATAAGTCTGCTAAAACAGGGCACATTTCGTATTCAAGGGAATTCCAAGTTTGTTTGAAAAACTCGAGCATCTTTTCAACTGAACCTTGGAGTACTTGTGTGTAGAATGAGAATTATTTTAACAAAATAACTTTGCAGATGACCTATGACATGGTATGTTATTTTAAGTGTTCATAACCGTAGCTTGTAAAGAGCATTGTTTTAAATTGCAAAAAGGAATTGTTTTTAGTCGCAATATTCAAAGCGTTTAAATACAAATAAGGTCACTGTTTAATTAAAACTACATGAAAGTTAATTGTAATAAACATTTTGCGTTTGATTGCAATAAAGGATCTCTGGAAGCTTTATTGCATAAAGTTCTTTTGCGTTTTTACACAGCTATTGCTGCTTTCAAAGGTAGCAGTAATTATTTATATTATCCAGCATACACTCCTGTAAAAACTTTGTATGCATTTTCAATTTATAATGATTACCAAGAATTAGCTGGCTTATCAATGTTCATCTTATCTCCTAAAGCTTAATTAAAAAAGATGTTTAATGTATGTAGCTGATCGGGGCCTGATAATGTCGTCCTTCGATGTAATGAGGTTAATTTTGTATAGTGAATAGAGATAATACAAGTTTACAGTTGTAAAGGGTCTTTCTACCTACATGTACCTCTTTCTTAGGATAAGGTATTTTGTACCTAATTTGGTGCTACTCTAACAGTTAAATAACAAACAAGATGCAGGGCTGAAAAATAGTGTAACGTGAATACTATTAGAATTTAATATGGGTGATAAACAGTGCTAAATCTCATAAATTCTAGGAACAAATCTTAACAGCGTAAAAACACGGACCTTCGAATTACAAATGGTGAGATCCAGTGCCATCGAGGAGTAAGCACGCCCTATGGACTGGTCACACTAGTCGACGTCAATCCATACC